GATTATAATTACTTATACTGTCTTTTTACGCGTTGCATCGCTCCGCGTAAACATAAAACCATGTCTGGATTTGTGATCGGAGAAATGACAAACAAGCGCTACTCTACTCTGCTCAAAACTCGCGTTTGAATCGTCATTGGCAAATTCTTTAAATATAAAAAACGTACTTACAGTCGGTGAGTCAGAACAGCCGGCATTGTAGTCTACTCTCCCAGGATCAGGAAACAGTCCTCCATAAAATGCGCTGCACACATCTGAATATTTGGGTTGAACTGTTCTGGAACAGTGTTGTAAATACAACTTAACCACTGATTTCTAGTCGTGTCCATTTTTGGAAGATCAAACAAAGTAGTTTCGCTTTCGCAACGAAACACAGCATCTTCACAACATGGCGGCGGCGGTGGTGGCAGCAACATTAAAGCTACGCCTTCTTTCTTTGCGTGAACATTTGGGCGGTGTTATGCAAATCTTCCCAGCTTGTAACACTCCAAAGAGAAAGGAAAACTTGAAATCGCATCATATGACCCCTTTAAAGGAATTAGTGCAAACCAATTCACTTAAATGAACAAGAATGAATTGATTCACTTAAATTAATCAGAACAAACCATTCAAGTAAAGGAATCGGAACAAACTGATTCACTTAATGGAATCAGCACAAATTGATTCAGTTAAAGGAACCAACACAAACCCAATCACTTAAATGAATTAAACTTCTCCAATGCAATTTACAGTGTAACATGACAGTTCAGCAGAGCTTATTTGATTGTTGTTTCAGTTCGCTCAGCTGTAAAGTTACACATGCAAACAACATTATATTAAAATTGCCACTTGTTGGGAGAAATATCTTGTTATTGAAAAAGCAACACTGAAAATATGGTTAAGCTAGCAGCATCACCACTTTTAGTAATTTCTCACTAATTCTGAATGCAGATTTCCATGGATAACATGAAAATTCAAGATTCAAGATTCAAGATTTTTATTTGTCACATACATGGTTATATAGAGAATATATGACCAGCAGTGAAATGTAAGTCAGGTCCGCTCCATGGACAGTGCAATTATTAAAGAATACAAACACAAGAAAATTATATATAAATATAGGTATGGAAAAAAAATAAAAAAATAAGAATAAAATAAAATGCGCAGGACAGTGTACTGTAGACTTAAAATGTTGACAGTGGCATTAATTCAATACACATCCAGCCGGTTATTAGCCTGTAGGAAGAGATTCATAAATAATCAAATGTGTTTCACTGTAATGTGGTGTTTTGGGTTGTGTTTCTTGTTCATGTTTTCATGTCTACCCTCCGTCCCTCCCCCAGTTCCGCCTCCATTCCACCACCCTCCTGGACTTGTGGGGTTTTGGTTGTGTTTGTTTGGGCGTCTGGAGC